AGCAGGAGGTAGTAGCTAAGGGGCACAAAGATTCTGTCAGGGGAGGCAAAAAGTTCTGAAAGTGGAAGTTAATGACAGGTGTACTGAATGCCATTGAACTGCACACCCGCAATGATTAGTATATTCAAAGTGTACTTTAGCACAAGTTTAAAGAGATGATGTGACACAGCTCCATCTGCTGTGTATTGTGTATCATGTGCCAGATATGTGCCTCAGCATGCTGAGTGCTTAAGGTGCAATACTGTCCAATGCTTTTTGTTTTATTTGAAAAACTGAGTGATGGAGTAAGAGTGGGAGAGTGATACCTCCAGCTTCCAGTTCATTCCCCAGATGACAGCAGCCGGGTGACCGGCTGTTTCAGCATGACCCCCTCTCCCAGTGCTGTTGGTCAATCATTTTGACTGCCAAGATCACTTCACAAATGTTTTCATCAGAACTTTTGAGTCACTGAGGAATTATCATTTTGATTTGATTTTGTGGCCATTTTTCTATAATTACACTGCTTAACCACTTCAAATTTCCCTCATTTTTAATTTTCTGAGATTGTTTCATTTTGTAGGTGGATTCATTCTTTCCTAGAAAAGCTTTGCCAGGAGGGTCTGATTCAGCATTGCCATCCGCTCCAGACAAGTCTTGCTGAGCGTTCACTTCTGCTGCTGGCGTTTCACAGGCGCTCATTTCTGTTTCTATCACGTACAGGTTGTTTGCATTGAGGGAGTTTCTAGCTTCCAATGTTATACAAACATGTAATCTTCCGTTTTTTTTTTTCTTTTTGGTTTAACATAATTTTACTGAGTACAATCTGGGTCCTTTTCAGTTTTATATTGTACTAATTATTTCTTTTTTATTATTGGAAAGTCAGATACACAAAGAGGAGGAGAGACAGAGAGGAAGGTCTTCCATCTGCTGATTCACTCCCCAAACAGACAGAGCTGCACCAATCCGAAGCCAGGAGCTAGGAGCCTCTTTGGGTCTCCCATGCGGGTACAGGGTGCCAAGGTTTTGGGCCATCCTCCTCTGCTTTTCCAGGCCACAAGCAGGAAGCTGGTTGGGAAGTGGAGCAGCCAGAACATGAACAAGCAAGGCAGAGGATTAGCTAATCAAGTCATCATGTCAGGCCCCAATATTTGTCCTTCTGTGACCGTCTTATTTCAGTTGCCATGAATTTTTGTTTAGCAATAGCCCATTGCATGTCTATACCACACTTCCTTTCGTTTTGCATTTTATTTTCCACAGCTGTAGGCAACTACCTAGGTTGCCTTATACTCAGGCAACTGTTCCACTCTTGGGAAAAAAACAGCAAATAGCTGGTGAGCTTTCAGGGCCTAGTTAACGGAAAATTTGTGTTGACTACACCAGTGTGACAGCATAGTTGCTTATTCTTTCGGAACATACCACCCTGGACCCCAGGTTAGCGGGCTACAGATGACCCGGGGAAGAGGGCCTGGAGACACATTGGAGTGGGAGCAGCTGAGAGCCTGTTTGACAGGCAAGGAATGATTTCTGGGATCTTCTACTGACCAAGCTACTGCTCTCACAGGTAGACAGGAGAGCTAAGACTGAGTGGTTTAGATGGGGGAAACTGGAAGCCATGTCTGGGTCAGGCCAAGCACCCACCCATTTGGGAGACCTGGGCTGGGCTAACTATCATCAACCACCACCTGATGGCCCTCCCAAAAGCTGGAGCTGGGGCTTATGCCTGGTTGGGCCAGGCTGCAATACCCACCTGTGACTGCTGGAACAAGGGGTTGGCCATGCTTGGCTGGGCTGCAGCACCCACCAAAATTCAAGAAAACTGGTTCTGGGGACACATTTTGTAGCAGAACCGTGGCCTCACTGCTGTGGGACTGCAGCACCCACTGTTTAATGCAGAGCTGTGGTCAATACCAGGCCAAGCCAGGATAGACAGACCACAGAATTCACCTGATAGTAACCCACCTGACACTGTAAAGTCTGGGGCTGGGAGAAGCCCATGTGGGACCATGTTGTAGCAGTCACCATCACATGTGAGGGGCAGGACTGAGGGCAAACTGTACCAAGCAGGGACACTTCTCCCGCTGGAGCACATGAGATCTGGAGCTGGGAGCATGCCTGTTAGGAGAACTTAGGGGGCCCCTGCTAGGCCATAGCGCCCTCTGGGAAACTCAGGACTCAGAGTTGGGGGCAACCAAGCCAGGCAAAGCTGTGGTACTCATTAGCATTTGTGTGAGCCAGGTCTGGGGATAGGCAAGGCTGGGCCAGGCCTCAGCACCTTCTGGCACACATGAGAGCCAGGACACAGTGTGGCCTACACCCAGCTAAGATAGGCTACAACACCTGCCAGTGAGAGCTGAGACTGTGGGTAGGCTTCACCAGGTTGGGCGAATGCACCCATCAGTATGTGCAAGACCTGGGACTAGAAATGGGCCTGGTAAGGGAACTCTGTCCCTGCAGGACTGAATCTCCTACTGGGGAATACAAGAGCCAAGACTGTGGCAGATCAGTTTGAGCAAGGCTGTGGCACCCATTGGCATGTTGTGTGGGCAAGAGCCAAAATGGGTGCAAGCCAGTCAGGCTAGGCTGCAATACCTGCCAGTGAGTGCCAGGACTGGGAGTGAGCTATGTTAGGCTGGGATGAGATCTGTTGTTGGTAGTAAGCTTCACAGGGAAACTTGGGAAACTCCCCTGTTAGGCATAATACCCACTGGCTAGACCAGGTTGAGCTGCAGCACACACTGACACATGTGTAAGCTGGGTGAGAGGGCAAGCTGGGCAGGGTCAATCCACAGGACACACTAGTAAAGGTGTTATACTGTGGTGTCCAGAATTTCATGAAGCAGAAGCCCCAGGAAGACAGTAACTTGGTGGCTTTTGTCACTGCTGTACTCCTAACTGTTCAGCCTATCACAAAGCAAACATTTAAACTGGATAAATACGAGATGTGGTCCAACCCTGGAGTGCATGCATGGAGTGCTAAGCCTCCTCAGTGGCTGATGCCTGTGCAGGGGACAGCATGTCCAGATCCACATTAGAAACCTAATGGCCAGCTCAGCTAGACCAGCAGGGACTTCAACTGCCTTGGCACTGAAGGGCAGAATAGGTTAGATAATTCTCCTGGCCAAGCTTTGCAGCATGTTCCTGAGTCTATGGATGTACTAGAGTGGATACTGTCAACCAACAGACAATAGACCAATAGACTTTGTCAGTCCTGGAGCAATGAAACTGGTTATCTCGGGGCTACCATAATCACTCAGTAACACCCTCCGAACATTCTTTCCCACATCAAGGGTGTCACCAAATGAGTATCCCCCATCCCTGGGTGCTGTTGTAGTTTCACAGCAAGGAGAGGTTCTCTCCTTCTCCTCCCCTGTGGACACAGGAGAAAAAAAAAAAGGTTGAAACATATGTCCCACTCATCTTCCTCCATACCAGGCCCTCCCACCCTAATCAGAGGCCCACATGGGCATGTCTCCCTCTCAACTATGTAAACAGTACTGAAAATAAAATTTAAACATAAATAAATAAGATTCATTTTTATACAGAGAGAAGGAGAAAGAGAAAGCAAGAGAGATCTTTCATCCACTGGTTCACTCCTCAAATGGTCACCATGACCAAAACTAAGACTAACCCAAAGCCAGAGCTTCTTCTGGGTCTCCCACAAGAGAGTAGGGTCCCAAGGCCATCCTCTACTGTTTTCCCAGGCCACAAGCAAGGAGCCAGATTAGGAAGTGGAGCAGTGGGGGACTCAAGCCAGTGCCCATATGGGATGCTGGCACTAGTAGGTGGAGGATTAGCCACTCTGCCACTGCCCTGGTCCCATATAGTACACTTTGTTTCTTGATTCACCTGCCCACAGAAATCTTTTGACTATGACTAACACTGCTGTGAATACAGCCGTGCAAATATCTGTGTCTCCACTGAACCACAATGTTCACCCCTCTACATTTTATATTCTTGCCAGACCCTACTAATTTGAGTTTGAGACCTAACTCTAGAATTTTTAGGAAGGTCTACAAAACTAGAGAAAACAAGCCTTTGTGGGTCTCAAAGGCGTCCCACCATGTAGCCCCCCTGGGCCTCACCAGTGAAATAGAGACCACAATGGCGCCCCCAACTCTGAGAGCTGTCAAGTGCAAAATGCTTAGGCAGTGCCTGTGGTTTTAGAAAACTAATCACTCCATCTTATTTCCTGTGGAGTCCTAGTGGCTGGCCCAGAACTCACAACAAAGAAAGCATCTATCTATATCTATATTTTTAAAAATAAATTTAAAAAGGTCTGGTGAAGGAACCAGGAAGTCACTGTCATAACACTCCCCATAGGAGAGTAACAGGAACATGATTAATTTTCGAGGTTACTGGGGGTTATACCCATATGGGGGTCTGGTGCAAGGAGAGGTAGCACCTTTAGGCATCGTAGTTTCTTTATGTACGGGACAATCAGGGTGGGCACCTTCTGAAGACTTCTAAAAAAAAAAAAAAACAAAATAAAATAAAGCAGGCAGGCCCACGAGGAGCTGTGAGGTAAGAACTGCGCCCGCCCGAGGAGGCACAAACGCCAGCCACAGACACTCTAGCTGTTTAAGGCGTTACCCGATAGGTCGTGACTTGAGCAGGAGTTTGGCGGGAACCGAAGGAACCCCAACAAAGGAAGTGACGTAAAGAGCAGCTCCCTGGACGGAAGGGGAAAGAAAATCCCTAAGGGAGTGTTATGAGAGTCTTTTTTTTTTTTTAAGTATCTGAGAGGCAGCGAACAACAGAAACAAAGAAAAAGCTCTTGCCTCCAAGAAAGCCGGGAACCGAAAACACGCCATCCCGCTTTCCCTGGTTTTTCGGACTTGGCCGGCCCCTGGTGGGCGCAGGAAGCTGGCTCGGGAGCGGAGGCCCGGAGGCGCTGATTTGCTAGGAAGGCCTTCCAACCGCCTAACCGCTACTTCGAACGCCGGTTCCCATTGGTTGTCTCTCGGAGCCACGGTCCTATCAGAGGATTTTTGCCCTTACTACAGATGGCGGTGACGGCTTCCGGCGCAGCTGGGAGGGTTAAGTGCGTTTTCCGAGGCCAGGCCTGAGAGGACGGGAAAAAAACGTGAGGCCCGTGGCTGTTGATTGGCTGCAGCGAGAAGCGGATGGACGTTGACTGGCTCCGGCGTTCGCGGGAAGAAGTTTGTGGCGCCAGAGCAAAGTGGACACCGGCAACACGGTTCTGAGGGAGGTGCTGCGAGCCGGTTCGACCAGAACTTTCGGAGACTCGTTCGCAAAGGGATTGTGACCAAGATGTGGAATAGTAAGGCTGGGTGGCGCAGCGTAGCGGGGCACGGACGCGCGGTCAGCGAGAGGGGCGCGTGCGGGGTGTCGGGGCTGGGGTGCAGGGGGCCTAGGTGCCGGGCGAGGGCCCAGGGCAGCGATCGGGACTGGGGGTGCGGGAGGCCAGGCGAAGGCCTCGGGGCGCGAGCGAGGATCGGGGTGTAGTGGCGGGGATACGAGGCGCCGAGCGAGGGCCGGGCCGGCGGCTCAGGTGCTCGCGCCCCGGTCGTTGTTCCCTGCCAGATTCCTACGACAGCTTCAGCAATTCCAGCTACGGAGGAACCGCCAGCTACACACAGTCGCCGGGCGGCTTCGGGTCGCCCACGGCCTCGCAGGCCGAGAAGAAATCGGTAGGTTGAAGGGGGCTGCTGTAGTTCTGTCCTGGAGCCCCTAGGTGGTCCCTGAGAGAAAACAGGAGCCCAGAGAGAAGGATGTCTCGTGTGAACTGATCAGAAAGTTGTTACTATCCGTGGCTCTCCTGATTTGATGCTGCAGTTTCAAAGGTGAAGTCTTTGGGGATACGCGTATTTTCTTAGCTTTCTTGGTTACCAGCTTTGCCTGCCTTCAGTGCGGCGAATGCATGGCTTGCGTGATTGCTGTTGAGATTTAACGTGCACAAAGCACCTGACTGTAGCCGCTTTGCGCAAACAAGTGTGAATTACAGTGGGTTACAAGTAGCGCAGCTGGACACACCTGCGTCCCATATCAGAGTGCTAGTTCAAGTCCTGGCTGATCCATTTCAGATCCAGCTTCCTGCTAATGCATCCTAGAGGCAGCAGAGTGTGACCCAAGAGCTTGGGTTCCTGCCACCTGTATGGGAGACCCCAGTGGAGTTCCTGACCCCTGGCTTTAGCCGGTGTTAGATTTACTGACCACCTAAGAAAATACCAGCCGAGTGCAAACAGGAGAAGTCCGTTCCTGGCCCTTTCCTAGCACGGCAGAAGAAAGGGCTGTGAGTAGGAAAGAGTGAACTGCATACAGTGAAAACAGAGGTTTTATACAACACAGCTTGAGCCCTAATAATGTAACGAATGTTGACCCAAGTCCATCACTGATCTGTTCATGGCCTTGGCTCTGGCTGAGGTCCACCCCCTTCCTGTAGCTGTGGTAACCATCAGCCAGCTCAGCCAGGCTGTTGGAACCATATGGGCAATAGCAGGGGTCCAAATACATGAGCCAGTCGTTGGCTGCTTTTCCAGATGCGTTAGCAGGGAGCAGGATCCGAAGTGGAGCAGCTGGGACTGGAGCCGTCACTCCCTTAGGGGAGGCTCCTGTCAGAGTGGTGGAAGCTGCTGCTGCACAGTGGCCACCCCAGGAGTCTAATTTGGGGTGTAGTGTGCTTTTTCTTTCCCTGTGCATATGGCTAGCCTGGGAGTATACCTAGCCCTCTGCCCAGCGCTCACTCCCTACTCAGGGTTTTTTCATTGTCAAAATCCTGTGTCAGAGTCCAGCCCTGGCACACTGTCTAAGTTGGCAGGACATTTTTCCAGCGTTGTCAGGCTGCTTTGAGTGTCCTCGCTGGACACTTTTTTTCTTTTTTAATATATTTTGACAATCTTTACATAGTTAATTAGGATAAAAAGGGTCAAGGGCTACAGGAAAGTGGGTAAGACTACTATTATTTTTTCCAAATTGTTTCCTTCATGTGCTGGACACTCTTATACATACCGCATTCTGTCCCTTCTCGTTAAGAGGTCAGCTGTGGGCAGGCCCCTAACTCATTAGCCTCAGGAGTTTCCTCTGATTGTCAGACATCTGTCATGAAAGAAAACTGTACTGTTATCTTTCTGCCAAGTTTTCTTAGGAGATCTAAACCAACTTCAACGTCCTGTTGCCACTGGCCTTTCTCAAAGTCCTTGCCCAGTACCATCTCCTCAGTGACCTGGACAGCCAGCCTGCACCTCAGGGCTGGGCCTCCTGCTAACGGTCTGTTCTGATAGCAGTTCCTTGCTGTATGCCCCTCGGACCTCACCTGGGTGAATCCTTAGTGCAGCTCCAACTTGGCTGTTCAGCAGAGGCTTTGAGGTCAGAAAAGCCTAGATTTGGCATTTAGTAGCCGTGGGATCTCAGTGAGGCAGGACATTGGGGTTCATTCTGATGAATCAGTGTTCCAGAGCAGACATTGATGTAGCAGTTCCAGTGACTGGGGCTCCTACATTCCTCCTCGAAGCACCTGTTTTAAGTCTTGACTCTGCTACTTCTGAATCAGCTTCCTGCTGATACACACGCTGGAAGCAGCAGATAATGGTGCAAATGCTTGGGCACCTGCCATCTTGACAGCAACCTGGGTTGAGGTTCTGGCTGCTGCCATTGGCCGGGACACACCCTGGTTACTCCTAGGGGACCGACCAGTGGTTAGAAAACCTTGCTGCTGCTTCTCCCTTCCCAATGCATTGAAAATAAATTATTTGAATTTTTAAAGGTAAATTGAATGTTTCAGTATCCTTAATGGACTTGGCTTGTATGAAAGGTGTGGTTGCTGTTCTTCATTGCATTGCTTTTCAGAGAGCCCGGGCCCAGCACATCGTACCCTGTACCATATCACAGCTGCTGTCAGCCACGCTGATGGATGAAGTGTTTAGGATTGGGAATGTAGAGATTTCACAGGTATGTGAAGAGTTTGTATAGGGGTCAATCATACAAATAATGAAGCAACACTTCTTTTTTGTTTTGTTTTAATAATTTATTATATTTCTGATGATGATTACCTAGTTGAAAGGAATGCATGCCCATGTGGACCACCAATTGAGAATGAGGAGGGTCGAGTAATGGGAGAAAGTGGTTGGGACAACTGCCTCCAGTCTCTTTTTTTCTTCTGGTGTCCGAGGAAAGTAGGGAGAGAAAGGGAGAAAGCTACTCCCAGCAACCCAGCCCATCAGTACCCAGGGATGGGGGAAGGCCACCCACTGTCATCCCAGGGTCCATAGTGTAGAGCATGTTCTGCGGATACTGCTTAAGTGGTTTTGATAGTTCTGAGATGCTGTTGATTTCATTTGTCCAAGGTTAAGGAAATCCCTTCAAAGTGCACTGACTGATATAACCCACCTTAGAATCTCAACTAGAGATGTTTGTCCCAGAGAGCTGTCCAATTTGTTCTGCCCTCCGTGGTACTTGACATCCTCTGCCAGCCTCAACTGCTTGTCATGTCCTCCACGAGCATTTGGGCATGCTGTCCTCCACACAGGCCTCAGCAGCTGTGGAGACCCAGTTCTGATTCATGTACTCCACAGTAAGACCACATATTCTGTGATTTTCACCATGGTTCCCGTCCTGAGTCCAGTGATCAGTTGGGGGGACCTGGGATCTCAAAGAAATCTCACCAGAGGTGACCCCAGATCTGACTCCTATATGTGCAGGCCAGTTCAGGGTCCAGCTCAATCTGTCACCCACATCGTCCTATATACACACTGGTGGTTGCAGTTACCTGGTCAGTTCTGTCTGCAGTCCCATCTCATACAAAAACCAATGGCCCAGGTTAACCCTGCCTGCCACATGCTTAGCCCTCACGTATACCACCAGGAACTGCAGCCTATTTGGAATGACCCCCAGAACCCCCCACTAGGCCTGCCCCCAACCTGGTTCCTGTGCTTGCCAATATGTGCAGCAGACTATCCAGTCTGCCCCATATCTAGTTTAGCTCTTGTACACATCAGTGAGTATTAGAGCTTTGCTCAACCCGACCAACCGTGCTATCCAGCCCACACTTATGCCAGCAGGTGCTGCCGTTTTCTAACCACGCCCACCCCTAGACCTGGTTCTCATGCTCACCAGTGGGAGCTGTAGCCCATCAGAGAGGTACCCACCGTTTCCCTACTAGGCTCTCACCCAGCCCCAGATCTTGCACTTACCAGGTGGTTCTACAGTCTAGTCTAATAGGATTTGCCCCAAGTCCCACCATTTGCCACCTGATGCTGCAGCAAGGCATAGCCAGCCTGCATTTACTCTGGTTCATCCATGCACCAATAGATACGGTCACTTAGTCCAGCCTGGCTCTCCCCCTAACCCAGCTCACATACAAGCCAGTGGATGTTGTAACCTTACCCAGCCTGGTCTGTCCCAGTCCCAGCTCTCGTGCTCAGCAGGAGGAGGTCACCCAGCAGGAAAACCCCTGCAGCTCCTCTGCTGGGCTTGTCCCCACATCCTGGGTCTTACAAGTGCTAGCAGAGGTTACAGCCCAGACTTGGATGCCTTGCCTTAACTTGGCATCTTCCAAGGCTTAGTTTTAAATTCCTGTTATGTTGCCTTGGTTTCTGGGAGTACCAAGCATGTTCTGTATATTCCTAACCTAGGTCACCATCGTGGGGATTATCAAACATGCAGAGAAGGCACCGACCAACATTGTTTACAAGATAGATGACATGACCGCTGCACCCATGGATGTCCGTCAGTGGGTCGACACAGATGTAAGTGACCATTTCTGAGCCGGGGTGGGATTGATTTGGGACTTTGAAGAAAATAGACACTTCTAGTCTGATTTTTTTTTAAGCCTTTTATAAAAAACAATACATAAGCTAGGACATCAAAGGCAGAAACCCTACTAGGAAATGTTAATAATGTTAACAGATTTTTTTTTTTTTTAAGATTTATTTATTTTTCCTGGAAAGGCAGATTTACAGAGAGGAGAGTCAGAACAGTCTTATCTGCTGGTTCACTCCCCAAGTGGCCACAATGACCAGAACTTAGCCAATCCAAAAGCCAGGAGATTTCTGGGTTTCCCACAGGGATGCAGGGTCCCAAGGCTTTGAGCCATCCTCTGCTGCTTTTCCAGGCCACAATCAGTGAACTGGATGGAAAGTGAAGCAGCTGGAACACAAACCGATGCATATGGGATCTCAGCACATGCCAGGAGGGGCCACTGCACCGGGCCCTAATAGATTTGATTTTACATGAGTTTAAAAACCTTCTTAGCTCCCCAGAATAACAAAAGTAATGTCAGTAATGTAGTTGGTTCAGCCTGAGTTAACACTGTTCATATGAAAGGGAAAATATTTACAGCATATGACAAACATTTCAAATTTCAGCCAAGTGCCAAAATAAATAAGTAAATAAACACTAACTAAAGCAAACACAGACATACACATTAAGATTTCTGCAGTGACCAAGGCAGCATGAAACCAGGGTTTGGAGAGGAGGTGACACCTAATGAGAAAAGAAGCAGATACAAGCAATTTTTGAAAGCAGCTGGCCAGAGGTTTCTTGAAGAGAGGAACAATTCAGGGCCTGTCACAGTGGCTTGTGTTCATCTGGGGATCCCGATTTCATATCAGCCTTACTCACCTGTGGGTTTTCGGTTTGCTGTCATCACTGTCCCAGCCAGGAGGTCCTGAGGCGGATTAACACATGCTCAGAGGAGGTGAGCACAACACATGGCCCATTACCTTAGACACGTGTGCTGCCCGAGACCCCGGCCTTGCCAGCCACAGGCCTTGTGCTCAGACGCCTGGCCCATCTCAGTCCTTCTCTGGCTGCTGCTGATTTGCCCTAGTGACTTCCAATCTGTCTTAGGAGCAACACCTGCCTCTGACAACTTCGGCTTTTGTGGCCTGCTTCCTTGTGTGTAGAAGGTCCTAACAGAGTTTCATTCTCCGAACGCTCACTTTCTGCTGGTAGCCTTTTCTTTATTTGAAAGGCAGAGCCGCAGAGACAAGGAGTGGGAGAGTGGCCTTCCATCCAGTGACTCACTCTCCAGAGACCTGAAGCTGCCGGTCTCAGCGCCGGTCCGAAGCCAGCAGCCAGGCAATCCCTCCAGGTCTCCCATCTGGGTACAGGGGCTCAGTCATTTGAGCCGTGTTCTGCTGCTCATCCATATGCATTAATAGGGAGCTAGATCGGACATGGAGCAACCGAGACTCTAGCCAGTGCTCAGATGAGATCTTGGTGTTGCAGACTGCAGCCTGACCTGATGCACCACAGTGCTGACACTGTGATGCCATTTTTTATTTATTATATTGTCAAAAAAAAAAAAAGACACTTAGTAGGCACCTGCTGTTCTACGAATGATTCCCAAGTCTTTGCCTTAGGAGAAATACCATCCTGCCTTGATGATATAAGCAAAAATAGATATGCTATTTCTCAAAAATCATCCTGTATCAAAATTATTAATAAAAACGATGATCCAGCAACTTCTAGAGATTTACATTAAGCATGTGATAAAGACATGTTCAAGGATTCAGTTACAAGAATCTTGGTAATGAGCAGTTCTGGTGCTGTGGCTTAGCCGGTAAAGCCACTGTCTGCAGCACTGGTGTCCTAAATGATTGTCAATCAAATCCCAGCTGCTCCACGTAGACCTAACTACCTGCTGATTGCCTGGGAAAGCAGCAGGAGGTGGCCCAAGTACTTGGTCCTCTGCACCCCACCCGGAAGCAGCTTCTGGCTTCAGCTGGCCCAGCCCTGGCCTTTGTGACCATTTGGGGGATTAAACCAACAGGTGAAAGATACCTCTCTGTAATTCTGCTTTCCAAATAAATGAATCTTTTTTAACTACTTATGTAAAAGAAGAAAAATTTGGAGTGTCACAATTGTTTGCTTTTTACAAAAGATACACATGACGTACAAATGGGGATTTGTTTTAAGAAATTTTTTTTTACATCTCTAAAATGAGGCAAACTGGTTAATGCTGTATTTGAGTCCTTTGGCTCCTTTGTAACTTTCTCACTCTGTACATAATTTGGAGGTGTTAAAGAGGCTTCCTTTGAATGGTAGCACCGTGACATGTGACGTGTTTGTGTTGCATTTGTTAGGATGCCAGCAGTGAGAACACCGTGGTTCCTCCAGAAACGTACGTGAAAGTGGCTGGCCACCTGAGGTCCTTCCAGGTAGGGGTACATCGATCACGTGGCATGTGCACTGGATTTTCATGAAGTGACTCCTGGATTCATGTCTGGGTTTCAGATATTAAATACTTAATTTTCCATTTTTAATGGGAAATTATTTCATTATTTTCTTCAAAAGGAAACAACTGCTGATTAATATAAGTGTTAGGATGGTGGGGAGTTGCATTTATGTGGCATCCATAGGAGTAGTTTGAGTAGAAGGGAGAATTCTGGACTTGGGCTCAGGATACCATGTGGTTGTATGACCTTGGACAAATTGTGACCATCTCTGAGCTAGTGTTTTCCTTCATTATTTACCATATTTGGATCAACCTGAATGAAAATGTAACATTATCCCCAAACCGGCAAAATACCATAACCAAGCAAAGAGCCACAGTGTTTGATCTGAAGTTGCCTTGAGCATGCTTAGCCTCAGTTCTCATTTTTCTCTATTTCTTAACAGAACAAGAAGAGCCTGGTAGCCTTTAAGATCATGCCCCTGGAAGACATGAATGAGTTCACCACGCACATTCTTGAGGTGGTGAACGCACACATGATGCTCAACAAGTCAACCAGCCAGGTGAGCGTGCTCCTCGGGGTGGGGTCAGAGGCCGTGCTCTCACAGGGTGAGGCTGAGCCGCACGAGCAGCGGCACTCGGGCCTCGTCTCCCTGAGCTTGACTGTTGAATTTTATTCCAGATGAAGTGTGCGCGTTTCCTTGAGTCACAGGTCCTCTCTTGCCGTTGGCTCGGGTGGCTAGGGCTTGGGACGACCTTCAGGTGCAGGCAGGTGGCTGCAGGCTGACCTACGTGCTCTGGGTCGTTGATATGTTCAGAGAAGAGCCACAAGGGGGGTGCTTTTTCACTGCTTTCCTTCCAACCTACAGGTGGCCCAGGAGCAGTCACTATTTTTTCTCCCTGGAATTGTATTTCCTGACTCTGTGGTATTTTCTGTTGTGGCAGTTGCCATTAGCAGGTGCACCTAGGACCGCAGAGGGGGTTGGTTCTGTGACAGTGCCGTCTCCTCACCTGTGCCAAGCACATTTAAGCATTACAGATTGGGAGATGACCCGTGTTCCTGCATTTGAAAATATGAATCAAGTCTACCCTGACACTCTCTGTTCCTGTCCTGTGGGATACAGCAGTGAGCGTGGTGCTGTCCTTCAGAGGACCAGGCAGTAAATGAGAACACGCATGTGATTCTCAGTGGGCAGGGTCCCTGAAGTAAAGTAGACATGGCAGAGGGGTGGTGGGAACGGGGGTGGTTCAGCTTTAGGCCTGGTGTGGCACAACGGGTTAAACTGTCAGCACGCCAGCATCCTGTATCAGATCTCCTATTCAAGTCCTGCCTGCTGCTAATGTTCCTGGTAAGGCAGCAGGTGGTGGCCCAAGTACTTGGGCTCCTGTAGCCCCCACAGGAGACCTAGGTGGAGTTCTGGGCTCCTGGCTTCAGCCCGGCCCACCCCTGACCATTGCAGCCATTTGAAGAGTGAATCAGCAGATAAAAGATCTCTTTCATTCTCTGTAATTCTTCCTTTCAAATAAATGGAATGTTTTTTAAATAATAATAAGGGATGAAGAAAAGGGAGGATTCAAACACAACTTGTAGGTTTGGGGCTGGAGTGACTAGGTAAATCCATCAGATTTGCAGGGGAGAATGCACAGTTCTGTCCTGGACCTGTTGAGTAGGAGGCGCCAATCATGTAGCCAGGAAAGCAGCTGAAATATGTAAGCCTGGATTTGGGGGAGAGCCGGGCTGGAGAGAAAAGAGTAGGGGTCACCATGCATGAGAAATGACTGAGGGTAAAGTCATGCAGGCGTCAGAGGGCAGAGACTGCTACTTTTTTTATTCTTCCAAGACAAAATGCATTTTTTTCAAAAAAGATCTATTTATTTTACTTGAAAGAGTAACAACAAGAGTGGGGAGAAACAGATCTTCGTTCTGCTGGTTCACTCCCCAGGTGACCACTATTCCAGAACTGGGTGGATCTGAAATTGGGAGTCGGGAACTTCTTCCAGGTGTCTCACATGGGTTCATGGGCCCAAGGCCTCAGGGCATCCTCCACTGTTTTCCCAGGACACAGGCAGGGAGCTGAATAGGAAGTGGAGCATCCAGGACATGAACCCGTGTCCGTATTTGATCCTGATGCCCACATGGGATGCAGGTGCCACTGCGCATCCCCAGAAAGCATTTCCTTGTTGCTTGTTAAATGGGTCTCCTGGCTGGCTAGCACTTCTGCTGAGCTTCTCAGGCACTCTGCTATTTGCTGTGGGTTCCTAATGTCCCTATCATCTCATTTTTTTAAAAAGATTTATTTATTTATTATTGGAAAGGCAGGTATACAGAGAGGAGGAGAGGCAGAGAGAAAGCTCTTCTGTCCTCTGATTCACTCCCCAAGAAGCTGCAATGGCCTGAGCTGAGCTGATCCAAATCCAGGAGATAGGAGCCTCTTCCAGGTCTTTCACGTGGGTGAAGGGTCCCAAGGCTTTGGCCCATCCTCGACTGCTTTCCCACGGAGCTGGCTGGAAAGTAGAGCAGCTGAGATGAGAACTGGTGCCCATGTGGAATCCCAGCAGTTGCAAGGTGAGAACTGTGACCACTAGGCTACCACGCCGAACACTGTCATTTTTATTTGCTCACTACACAGTGTGATAGGGTAAACATTGACAGCCTAGACTGTCCACCAAACACTTGTGACACGCAGGGCCTGTGGGTCGTGAGGCACATAGAACAGTGCATCAGGTGCTGTAATAGGGAATGGGCCAAGGACTGAGAGCCAGGAAGGAAGTGGACAACTGACTGGGCTTGAGGAGTGTCAGCAAAGACCTGACAAAGAACTTGGAAGGATAGGAGAGGGGAGATCATGACCCAGCAGGGACCCATGTTGGGAGCAGAGGTGTATTCGAGAGCGGCAAGTCAGGTGAGGCCAGGGTGAAACGTGTGAGAAGTCACTGGAGTCCAGGTTGGACTGCCGGTTGGACGAGTCTTGAGTTGCTTGATGGTGGTTGAGAAGAGGATGCGATCACAGAAAGTGGAGCATAGCAGTGAAGGCGGGGCTCTGACTGGCCTACCCGACCAGAGCCTGAGGTGCCAGTCAGGAGGAGCAGAACTGGCTTCAGTCATAGGTCTTGGTGACAGATTGTAGGAGGTGAGCCACAGGTGCCTGCAGACTGTTGCATTGGGGATCAGGGTTACTCACAGACATGATGGAACAGGGAGCAGGTTGGGAAGGAAAGTCATGGGTCTGACTTGATGCGCAGTGCCTCAGCTGCCCGGGTGGAGGTAGCTAGCTGCCGGCTGGCAATGAGGACTTGGAGCCTGGCAGGAAGCAGGGGTGATGTTAAATGGAGGAACTGTCACCTTTCAAGAGACAGTGGAGGGGACCCGGAGGGCTCCCGAGAGGGTGTGAACAGCAGGGTGCTGGGGAAAGGTGTGGGTCATTGCAGAAGAGGCCGCTGGTGACAGGAGAAAAGAGTTTCAGAAGCAGGTTTCAGGGAGTTCGAGTGCGGGCGCATGGCTGAGGAGAAGGGAAACAAGATCACTTTCAGACTGCTTTTCAGGAATGCCGTGTTTTCAAAACAAAACAAAAGGAAAGAGGACCTTGGGGATAATGTGCTCTTGGCTCCCGCTGCAGGGTTTCGTGTGTGGTCAGTCGGTGTACGCTGAGGGCTGGCCCCAGGTGCTGGGACAACAGCCTGCTCTCACTGATCCGCTCTGCAGAGGATTGCAAAACACTCCCCAGACAGGGGCCGACCCTCCCAGTGTCAGCAGTTGTTATAGGCAAACTGCCCCAATTGCTGCTTGTTAGCTGCTTATTACAAGTTATTTGAAACAGCAAAAACTGGAGCTGACAATGGTAGCTCAAAGCCTAATCCTCCACCTGCAAACACCAGCATTCCATTTGGGCACCAGTTCGTGTGTTGGCTGCTCCACTTCTATCCAGCTCCTTGCTTATGGCCTAGGAAAACAGCAGGAAGGCGGCCCAGTTCCTTAGGCCCTGCATCCACATGGGAGACCTGGAAGAAACTTCATCACTTCAGATTGGCTAAGTTCTGGCCATTGCAGCCATTTGGAGAGTAAACCAGTGCATGAAAAAAGAACAAAGCCCGTGTTTAGCTTGACATCTCTTCTAATGCTGTGAACTTACTCTTTAACTCAGCCCCCCGCAGGGAGAGCCTCTTTCGGCAATCCAGGAATGAATGAAGTGGGAAACTTCGGTGGGAACAGCTTCATGCCAGCAAATGGTCTCACTGCGGCCCAGAACCAGGTAAGCTGCACCTGCCCGGCTCCGGGAACAGAACCACAGTCAGCGCTAAATGTGCCGAAGGCTGTGTCGGGTCTGGCTCACTGCTTCCTTCCCAAGGGACTAAGTGTCAGGAAGGGAGGCTTACTGAAGTGTTTGCTGAAGTGATTTTGATTTGAATCTTGCAGGTGCTGAATTTGATTAAGGCTTGCCCAAGACCTGAAGGATTAAACTTCCATGATCTCAAAAACCAGCTCCATCACATGACTGTGGCCTCAATCAAGTGAGTATTTGGTTTCTGTGAGCTGGGATTTCAGGATTGTAAATCCATTTCACCTACCTACCAGGGTCTCCTAGTGTGGAAAAGCAGCATCTGGGCCTGGCATGATGACTCAGTGGCTAAATTCTCACCTTGTAAGTGCCAGGATCCCATATGGGTCCCAGTTACTCCACTTCACATCCAGCTCCCTGATTGTGGCCTGGGAGAGCAGTCAAGGATGGCCCAAAGCCTTGGGACCCTGCACCCACGTGGGAGACCCAGAGGAGGCTCCTGGCTCCTGGCTCCTGGCTTCGAATTGGATCAGCTCTGGCCATAAAAAAAGATTAAACCAACCATAATAAGATATCGTTTTTTTTTTTTTTAAAGAAAAAAAAAGTGGTGTCTGACGCAGCGGCTCAGCCTGCACTTGGGACACTCACATCACGTAGTAGAGTCTCTGCATTCAAATCCCAGCTGCACCTCCTATCCAGCTTCCTGCTGTGTCACTTCCTCTAGTAGCTGGGCCCCTGCCACCTGTGGGGGAAACCAGTGAAGTCCATCACTCCAGGCTTTGGCTTGCCCATTCCTGCCTGTTGCAAGCATTTGAGGAATAAACCAGCAATTGGAAGATTCTCTGCTTTTCAAATAATATTTAAAAATAAAAATACAACACAGCACAACTGTTTGCTGCAACTTCTCTGACAGAAGGGAAGTTGTTCAGCCACGAACATGTGAAAAGACAAAGACGGTATTGCTTGTCATGTCAGCCACTCATTTGCTCACTCAACCAGGTACTAAGGTCCACTGTGTATGAGGGATGTGATTCTGAGCCAACAGTGGCTCAGTACCTCCTGGGATTTAATGGAGGAGTGAGGGCCGCAGCCCATGGTCCTCTAGTGTCCCCTCGTGGACATGAGTGTGGTAGGCTGTCAGGACCTGAAGCCGTCTGGCACCTGCCAGCACCCTGGTCCACTCTAAATGGGCAGTTGCCCGATTCCAGTGGAATGAACCAAACTCAGTGTCCCCGCACCTGGGTAGTTGTTTGTTGCTGTCAACCAGTTAATGTTCTAGGCCCAAATAAGAAAACTGGTTCAGCTGTAATGCCATTTTCTGTCCTGCAAAATGAGAGCAGGATGTGACAATGAAGTATAGCGCATTGTAAGTGCTCTGTCAGTCGTGGCTGTTATTCAGAATGGCATTGCTATTGTCATCCACCCTGACAGTCTTGTGGATTTGAGAGGTCATCCTGCTTCTGGAAAGATCACTCCTTTCTGCAATTTTATTGCATGGAGAAAAAGCAGAAAAAAAAAAAAAGTTCAACAGGGAGCAGAGACTTTAATGTTCATTTATTTTTATCCACATGAAAAGTAGGACAGACAGAAACAAAGATATTATCTGTGTGTTAGTTCACTCCCCAAATGCCTGCAACAACTAGAGCTGGGCCAGAACAAAGCCGGAATCTGAGACTCCGTCTGGGGGTACCTTGGGTGGCAGAGACCCAAGCATGGCAGCCATCATGCGCTGCCTGCCAGGATGCATCAGCAGGAAGCTGGTACAGAGCAAAAGCACTAGGACTTGAACCGCAACACCTGCCCATGCCTAGTGGGGTAAATCAGCACTAGTGATGTCAGCATCCCATGTGAGATCACCTGTTTGCATCCCAGTTGCACCACTTCCAATCCACCTCCCTGCCGGTGCACCTGGGAGGGCAGCAGAGGATGGTTCAAATACCTGGGTCCCTGCCACCCATGTGGGAAATCATAGCAGGGTTCTGGGGTCAGCCCTAGCTTGTGCAAGCATTGAGGAATGGGACAGCATAAAGAGGAGCTATATCTCGTTGTCTGTTGCTCCGCCTATCAAAGAAAGAAAAGAAAATCTTAGATAAGACCCCTTCTGGATCTGCCACGTGGGTGTCAGGCCCAAGGACTTGGCCCATCTTCCGTTGTATTCCCAGGCACATCAGCAGGGAGCTGGATCAGAAGTGGAACAGCTGCAGCTCAGACCTTCTCTCCACAGTTGTCCCAATACAGTTGTTTGTTCCAGGTTCCCGTGGACAGACTGGGCCACAGTTTGAGATCCTGGATTCACTTTGCTTAGGCCAGTATTTGAGTGAGGCCCTATTTTCTTTCCATACCTTGGGAGAGCAAACCAAGGCAGCTGTAGTAAGCAGTGTCTTGGTGGATAGCCTGGGCTTGGCAGCTGCTCCTGCAGGAGCCTTCTGCTAGTCTGTGGCTGCGACAGGGTGGAGGTTAAGTCAAGGCTGCATAACTGGCCACAGCCAAAAGGTGAGTTTCTTCTGCATTTATTTGAAAAGGATACTTTTTCTTTGCTTTCTAGGCAAGCTGTGGATTTTCTTAGCAACGAGGGACACATCTATTCTACTGTAGATGACGATCATTTTAAATCAACAGATGCTGAATAACTGGATCTCAGCAAGTACCAAGACGCTTGCCAGCCAGTCCTAGTTTTGTCTTCTGTGGTCTCCAACTGTGTACATTTGGTCAGGTGACATCTAGGATGTAGAGTGTCAGCTAGGGACCTGGTGGGACACAGTGCTCTTCTAATTTTGTTTTTGTGTTTTTGGTGATCAAAGGGAGACGGACAATTGACAGGGATGTGACCAGGGTGGGATTCCTTGAAGAATTTTGAGAAAGCTCCTTCCAGCAAGAGGATGGAGGGACCTGGAAGGGGGATGCCTCCAGGCCTGCTTCAGGGACCCCCACGGGGAGTGAGGCTCCTTGAGATGCCTGCATGAACAGTAGCGCTTAGGGCTTTGTGTTTCTGGCCTGTGTCCTGTGAAAGGAGGCGGGCAGCGCTGGACTCTGCAGCTGCGGCCCAGCCAAGAATCCCAGTGACCTGGGCTGGGTCTGCGTCCCTGAGGGTGCGTAGCATTACTTTCACAATTGCACTTTCCTTGATCTTTGCTGCCAAAAAGTGGGCTTGTGTGATCAGGGGAGTGGTGATCTCGAGGGGCAGCAAGGAGGGAATGCTGTCGTGCTTGGTACAAAGCAAGGGCTTTCATGTGTTTAATAAAACAGTCCTGTTGTTGCAGTAACTGGAGACTTGGCGCTTCTGGCCTTGAGCCCTTGTCATGAGCAGCAGTGCAGCACAGTGCACCAGGCATTGGGTTCTGCTCTCTCTGTCTTTGGTTCGAATGCTGAATGGCCTGGGCTCACCCCCGGAGCCTGTATCATCGCTTGTGGGGCCTCTGGCCATGCCAGTATCCCGTGCCAGAGCACTGACTTCATTACCAGCTGCTTCTGATCCAGTTCCCTGCTGATGTGCCTGGCAAAGCAGCAAAAGAAAGGAAACCCACAAAAGGATTATCTCGTGGGTATGTTGTAAAGCCTGAGTAACTGCCTGTTGAGGTGTGTGAAGCGTCTGGCACGGTCTCGAGCGGGGCTTCCAAGATGGACCTGACCATTGCCCTTCAAAGTGCCAGCACATGACCCAACTGGGCATCTTCCACTCAGCCTCAGGGTGAGACTTGCCCAAGGCCCAGGCTAATTTTGCCCCTCTGGGTCATTTCTCACTTTGTAGCAGATGACACCATTTAGATTTCTAGACAGCTCTTGGTTGAATGAAACCCGATTTCGAGATAAAGTCCATGAGGTGTAACATGCAAATCGATAGTCTGCTGGAACTGTCCACGCCACCAAGAGCTGGGCGGAGCTGGCTTCAAAACACGCCGCTGTTCTTGCGAGCAAAATCTGGCTGCTTCCTATGCAGGTTGTGGCAGATGTTCAAACTCAGCATGGCCGTTCTTGTTTAGTTCCTCAAAGTAAGAACAGTGGCTGGAAATGGTTTCTTAAAAATCATACGTGTTTGAATTTGCAATGCATGATGGGAGCTTGTGTAAATGGCGGACTTGTCTTTCTAGCTAGCAGTTTAGTGCTCTCCGGGAGATGGGGGCAGGCTGTCTGCAGTGGTTCTGGGGGGAGGCCTTAATAGCATCAGATGATGACTTAGCGATTAGAGGTTGTATACTGTGCCTTACTGCAGAAGTAGTGATGTGTTGTGCAACCTGTTGGTCGGGTCTTAGGAAGAGGAAGTGCAGAGATGGGCGCCACAGAACTTGCTGCCAGGCAACGCTGAACCCTCTGCCATGTGTGAGGCCTCCAGCAGCTGGGGGCAGGCAGGCCACCCCTCAACAGGATGAAGTTCCAGCCTTCATCAAGATTCCACTCAGCTCAGACGGTGGCAAGACCTTGCAGCCTGGATATCTGCGGTCCCTGGCCATGTGCAGGGTCCTCGGGGCACATCGTTGGAACAGCAACACAGAATGTCGCCGTCCAGCAATGGGTCTGGCCTACTTCAGGGACACCCATGGGGAGTGAGGCTCCTTGGGAACTAACTGGGCTCCCAGAGACCAAGGCCCATGAGAGTGTCTGTGTGGGTCACAGATCTGTAAAAATGCACCTGAAGAAAATTCCAAAGTTACCCATAAAAGAGAACCTTTGTCCCAGTTTACATTCGCTGGGGTAGCAGTCATTTCCCTCTGTCCCTTTACTCATGGTATTGCACATTCAGAAATAGAAATGGGAGAGATTGCCTGTGAAGAGGATCCTTCGGCTTCTCCCAAGGGCACGCCCTCCTCGGGGACCAGAGCCAAGGAGTGACCGCTCCACACTGACAGCCTCACGTTGCCCGGGAACTCTTTCCGCAGGGAAAACCCACATCCTGAAGATGCTCTCGGTCCCTGGCCCACTCTCTGCACACCCCCATGGCTCTGGTGAAGAAAACAAAAATCCACTCACAGTTGGTGCCAAGATTAAACACACAATGTGGAAGTGAAAACCACAGACATTTTGCATGTGGGCCTAGCCCTCGAGTTTCTTTGCCAAGAAGGGACTTGGGTGTCACCCTCTTCGCTTGTTCCTCTTCTCAGCACTCTCCCTGGGTTCCTGCGCAGGGGACACTAACCCGGTGGGTGGGGGCGAAGGGAGGATGAAAACTAACTGGCTGATGATAGAGAAGGGTACCAGGTGCTGAACCAGCCCCGTGGCCTGCAGGAGCTTCCCAGCAGCCACCTGCAGGACCCTGTGTGGGAGTGTGGAGGCCTGGGGGGAGTGGTAGATCCAGGTGGTCCATGGATGTGTTAGAGCCCAGGGGCTGGGCCTCTGACCCCCTGGGCTCCCACTTCAGCCAGAGCCTCAGCTTGTCCCTTGTCTCCTGTCCCTGTGGCTAGCCTGGAGTTGACTTCTGTGACTATTTCAACCCACAAAGCCAAGTCACCCCTTGCAGGAAATGGCAGCCTTTCACCTTGCCCCAGCAACCAGGCCCCGATGGAGCATGGAAACTATCTGCCTGGACCCGGGTTTGTGTTTCTTGTCTACCTTACGCCACCAGCACACTCAATCTAAGACATTTCTAAATTTTGAGACAAAAAACTCCCATCTGCTGACTTCCTCTCCAGATACCCCTGGTGGCCAGGGCTAGATGAATACCAAAACCAGGAGCCAGAAAAATGTTAATGCTCATTTATTTTTTTGGGATGCAGAGAGAGAGAGATCTCTTCTGGTTTGCTTCCCAGATGCCCACAACAGCCAGGGTTGGGCCAGGCCAAAGCTAGTCCAGAACTCCAGCTGGTCTCCCAAGCACTTGAACCTGCTACCTCTGAGGGGTGCATTAGCAGCTGGCTGGATCAGAAGCAGAGTAGCCAAGATTTGAACCGGTACCCCAACATGGAATATGTGTTTCCTACAGAGCAGGTTAATCCACAGCGACAACCCTCACCCGTGGAGCTGGACATCAAACCCAACTCCTCCAGTGTGGGATGTTGGGCCAAAGCCCGGCCAAGGGGGCTAAGAGACAGGCACAGCCTCATGACCGCCATGTGGTCTTGGTTGTTCCAAAACTTGCATGCTTACTGTTCACTAAATTCTTACATTATGATCCTTGAGACAGTTCTGTGAGGTAGGTAACTTTTCTATTTGCAGGTCAAGAAGCTTACAGAGGTAAAAGTACTTGGCCCAGAGTTCACAGCTGCACAGCTGACCTGAGACCCCAGCCCAGGCTTATGGGTTCTTTTGCTTCAACCTTGACCATCGGCCTGTGTCCTAACCTTTCAATCAGGCATTGCCTACCTTAGAAATTGGGAATTTTGGATGCAGCACAGAGCTGTTACTCTGACAGAGCTCAAATGGCATGTTTATTCCGTGGTACTAGAATGAGATGATCTCAGATGGTCACTTAAAGCTGTGACCGTCATCGTAGCCCCACCTGATGGCGCCTGCCACTTTCCCGTAGCCCCAGGTCTCCTTAACTTGGTTCCCCCAACCTCACCACCAGCTTTGGGAGGGCAAGATTTCAAGATTCACTCCTGCAGCCCCTGTTGACCAAATACCAGGTGAGGTGCCAGGTGCCACAGAGGTGAGGAGGGCAGGAACTGGCTGAAAGCTGGTAGGGATGGCAGGTGTGAAGAAGATTCTGGATGCAATGAGGTCTGCCTTTGCCCAAAGGTGGCACTTGGCTGCCATCCCCAAGGCTGGTGGTGTTTTGGAGTCTTCTGCACAATAGGACAACTGGTAGGGGCACATAATTGTACAGAACACAGTTGGCCCCTCTGCATATTGAAGCCCTGGGTTAGCAATGAGTCCAGTGCAAGGTGCTGTGTCTCTGAATGGGAATCCAAGCTCCATCTCAGTCAAAAGGCCAAGAAACAAATTCAAAATGCACAGGAAGCAGGTGTAGCGTCCATTCCGTTTCAAGTCACACCCACAAAACCGAGCCCTGGCAGCAGCCTCATTTCTAGGAGGCACTGCCCAAGGCTACTCTCTCTTCTCAGACACGGAGGGAGCTCCTGTGGCCGGTCCTCTCCCCAAGGACCCAAAGCCAGGTCTCTGGTGTGGGTGGCAGGGACCCGACTAGAGTCATCACTGCTGCCTCCCAGGGTGTGCATTAGCAGGAAGCAGGAGTCAGAACAGAACTTGGAGCCACTCAGCAGTGGGAGCCAGGCGTCCTGAACCTGGACACACACCCTCCCGGCGAGGTCCTCCAGAGGCTTGGAGGGGCTGGCTCACGTCCAGGACTCTCCCGCATCTAGATGGTCTTCTGGAATTGCTCGAGTATTTCTTCATAATCATGCTGGTCATCTGCAAGAGAGTCTAGGACCACAAGGAGCACAGTCTTGCGCAAATTCCTTCCTCTCTTGGGTTTCAACACAGAAGGGACTGGGTGGCACCTGTCCTGTTGGATGGTGTGTCAGGGCCCTCAAGCCCACGGGGGAGATCCCTCCACCTGGGCCTACCCATGCAGGGCCCACCCAGCCAATGGAGATCGAGAAGGGTCTGCCCTGGTGGGGGAATCCAGGACAGGGGGCTCACCTGTGGCCTGGCTTGGCAGGGTGGCAGACTTGCCCTTCCGGTGGGTAGAAATCTGGCTGTAATCATTACAGCTGGACACCAACAAGGTGTTGGCCCTGGATTTGGGCAGCAGAGGAAGCTGCGGCTGGACAAAGCTTTGGGAAGGCTGAGCGGAAGAAACAAGGGGATCAGCTGGCCCCAGGAGTGACAGGGCACTCCACATGCAAGGCCAACACACATACCAGGCTGCCAGGCTGCCTCTGCACCCCAGCTCAGGAACCCCTCCCCTCAATGCTGTGGCTACTGCAAGCACAGCTACAGAGCAGGGGGAGAGGGGCAGGTGGGGTGCAGGCTGGAGCTGGGGTCTCCCTGCAATGCCCCTCTGTTGGGAAGCAGAGACACCCCAGGAAAGCTTGAGTTCAGCGCTGGATGTCACCAACGAGCTATACCCCACATGCCGCCTCCAACCCAGGTATCCCCAAGTTCCCAAACAACAGACTATAGATATTCAGCAAGTCGGCGTTCACTGTTCACCCAGAGGCACAAGCTGGGCACAGTCCCCTGGCATGGCCTGCCACTACCCTGCTCTGCAGGCAAACTGTCGCACCTCTGCAATATTGTTGGTTGCCCACTGGTGAGGCAGAACAGTGCGCAGGAGGGGTCTGAGCTGGAGTGAGCCGCCAGCCACGGAGACCTTGCCTCCAGCTGGCCACTGAGGAGACGTATGGTCAGGGCAGGAGCAGTGCGCACAGCCACTGGGCATGTGGACTGAATGCCAACTCACCCGCTGACTCCACCTCTTCAGCTCAGCAGGTGCTTGCTGTAGCCAGGGAAACGTGACACATACCATACAACATGTGACATGCAACAATACAGCCCAGGGTGGAGAGTAAGGCCGGGGCAGCCTGAGCCCATCATCACCAGAGCCTGAGATAGGGACCTTCCCTGTGTCCCCATGGTGGGAACAGGACTGCAGGCGGGAAGAGGGAAACGGTCCTTTAAGGCCAGATCAAGGTCAGCTAATGAGGTGGCACCACACCCTGGCAAGGGGAGCCACTGAATTCTGCAACAGACGTGAGAACAGGAGAGGCCACAGAGGCTGCTGGGTCAGCTCCAGTGGAAACTGGGTGTAGCATAAAGTGGGGGCAGGGCAGAGGCAGGGCACCAGGAACTGGTGTGCTCCAGTTCAGGCCTCAGGGCAAGTCACCTCATGTCTGGGCTCTCAGTGGTAAGACACAGGCGATCATGCCAACTACAGGATTTCAATGTCTGGATAAGGGTGGCACTCAGCGTGTGCATATTTACAAATGGCAGGTTCTGGTGTGAGAGCCGGGACAGACGGACAGACAGACATGGCGGACAAAGCAGGCAGTGACGGCAGCCCTCCACCTGGACCACATCCATACCTCACTGTCGCCCTTCTCGCTGCTTTGCTTCAGCTGCTTTCTGAGCCCCTTGCTTTTGGGGGGCCTGGGAGGAGGTGCTTGGTTGGCACAGGCTGGCAACTTTCGCAGGCGATAGTAGAAGGCATCGGTCAGCTCTTCCACCGTGATCACAGGGGGCACTGCTGCTGGCTGGCCCAGCCCCTGCTCAGACTCCACCACAGTGAAATCCAGCCACCGGGGTGGGATGGCAAAGCTCACCTCGGGCTCAGAGCCCAGGCTCACGACCAAGAAGGGTTCCGTGACCTTCTCCTCCAGCCGCAGGCCCCGGAAGGAAGCCAGGGGATCTGCAGACTGGCTGACATCCTTGGCCACCACCTTGACCTCACAGGGCAACAGGAATTGAGTCATCAGATCAGCCAATCGGTAGCGCCGGCTGTCGTTCAGCTCCTCCACAAAGCTGCCCGCCAGATAGAGGGGAAGCAGCAGCCGCTCTTGGGCCTCTTCCTCCTCTTCGTTCTCTCCAGCCTCTTCCTCCTCTTCCTCCTCAGCCTGTTCATTCAGCCGTTGACACACTAAGACATCCTGGTCCCTGCCTTGGTACCCATGGACCTGGCCAGTCCCCAGCACCTCCAGCCGGTCCCCCACAGCCAGCGAGCAGGACTCAGGATCGTCGGCTGTTCCGGCCTCACAGTCCTTGGTCACCACCACCCGGAATGGCTGGCCCGGCTGCACAGCGCCCAGGAGGTCATAGGCAGTGGGGAAGTCACGGGGCCGGCGCCGCAGCTTGCCCTGGTAGGCCCCCGAGAGCAGGAAATGCCGGGGCACCTTGTGACCCCTGCTTGAGGCCAGGACCCACCAGGTGGGACTGGCCAGGCCATGGATGCAAAGCTTCTGGCCTTTCCGCAAGGAGCCCACCCATGGGCTGAGGAAGATGGAAGGTCCCTCGGGAGCTTCCAGGATCTCTGCAGACATTGGGAAGGGACCCCCCTGGGCCAGGACCTCGCTCAGCAGCAGTGGCTTGATAAAGTGGATGTGCTGGGAGGAGGTGGTGACGTCCTGCACCTCCACCTCCAGGCTGGAGGGGATCTTGACGATGGTCCTGCGCACTGTGGAAAGCAGGGGTCAGCTCCGGGCACCCAGTAGGCCACCCCGAAGCCAAGAGCACAACCAGCGCCTGCTGACCTCTGGCTGCAACCTTCTGTTCCTACCGCCCCCTGCCCATCAAGGTGGATTCCTGGCCATTCTTGTTCTTCAACCTCCTTCCATACAACTGTTGAGGTGGGCATTTGGCACACATTTGAGCTACTGCTCGGGGTGCCTGCATTCTACATGGAACTTTCTGGGTTCCAGGCCTAACTATGCTCTCGATTCCAGCTCCCTGCAAACACATACCCTAGGAGTCAGCAGGCAACAGCACAAACAGCTAGGTCCCTGCCATCCTTGTGGGAGACCAGGATGGAGTATGGGGCTCCTAGCTTTGCCATGGCCCAGTTGTGGGCATTTGGGGAAGTGAGCCAGTGGGTGAGAGCTCTCTCTGTTTCTCTCTCTGTCCCTCTCAAGTACATTGAAAAGCATCATTATGAAACAGAGGGCAAAAGGATGCATGATCATGGTGTCCACCTCTCTGAGCTGGTCTGGCCTTATCAACCCTGATACTCCTCCTCCACTGAATGCTCCTAGGTCAGAATGATGCCGTCACATGTGCCTATTTCAGGGAATGTCTTTAAAAAAAACAAGACATAATTAAAATCCAGAAAAAAATAATAGGGCCCGGGACTGGCACTGTGACCTAGTAGGTTAAATCCTTGCCTTGGACTTGCCAGGATCCCATGTGGGCACTGGTTCTAATCCCGGCAGCTCCACTTCCCATCCAGCTCCCTGCCTGTGGCCTGGGAGAGCAGTCGAGGACGGCCCAAAGCCTTGGGATCTTGCACCTGTGTGGGAGACCCAGAAAAAGTTCCTGCCTCCCGGCTTTGGATCGACTCAGCACCGGCCATTGTGGTCACTTGGGGAGTGAGTCATCGGGCGGAAGAACTTCCCCTGTCTCTCCTCCTCTCTATATATCTGACTTTGCAACATAAATAAATAAATCTTAAAAAGTAATAATAATAGGGCCCTGGCACAATGGCTCAACTGGTTAATCTTTCCTTCTTCAAGTGCCAGGATCTCATATGGATGCCAGTTCATGTCCCAGCTGCTCTACTTCCCATCCAACTCCCTGCTTAAAGCAGTAGAGGACGGCCCAAAACCGTGGGACCCTTAAAAACAATAAATCTTTCATAGAAAGATTCAGATTGGAGTACTTAGTTTCAAACTCTATATGATACCTGGGCTTGCTCTGAACTCTCTAGGTGTGATGGAGACACAGAGAGACATGACTCTCCCTTGCCTCTCCACTGCCGACTATTCACAGCAGCATTGGCTGCGTGGAAGCTGGGAGCCAGGAATGCCATGCAGGTGGCAGGGACTCAGAGACCTGAGTCATCCGTTGCTGCCGCCTGTGTGTGCATCAGTAGGAAGCAGCAGCTGGAGCAGGGTAGGTGCTGTGGTCCAGCATATTCAGCCATTTCTTGGGATGCTCACACTCAACGCAGAGTGCTAGAATGGAGTGCCCATCTGTAGGCTTCCAGTACTGCTTCCCACTAATACACCTGGAGAATCAGTGAAAGATGGTTTGAGGACAAGGGCCCCTGCACCCACACAGGAGACCAGGGTGGGGTTACTTTGGCCTACTCCAGCCCTGGCTTTTGGGACCAGTGATGGAAAATGTCTCCCCTCTCCCGTTTGCTTTTTTACATTAATTTAAAAATCAGTGAATTGACTTAAAAAAAAAAAAAGAATTGAAATCAGGAGTTGAACCAAGATGCATCGATGTGGGATGCAAGTGTCTTAACCATTAGGTTAAAATCGTGCCCATCCTCTCACTTTTATACTTGCTTGAATTTTCCCATAGTAAAAAGCAACTGAAAGAGTAGAGAAAGTGGGGCAGACCCTGCTGGCTCTGCTGGCTCTTTGGGTGACCACCAGGGAGCTGATCCCCAAACTCCATGCGCCAGAGAAGGCTCCAGCCTCCATTCTGCTTCCATCCAGTTTCTGCTTCAGTTTCTGCTCTGCCCACCACCTCCAGCCTGCCCTGACCAACATCCCAAGAAAACAGGAACACCTGGGACCTCTCTGACAGGGGCCTGTGGTCTCTCAAAAGACAGGGGCCCTTCAGAACCAATCCTGTTGGTCCCGAGTCGGGAGAGGCGGTCTCGCCCAGGCAGCTGGTCGGATGTCTTCTTGTGGCTCTCTGCCAGGACCCAGCTTTGCCTAATGCTGTGAAGCCACCCAGATGTGTCCCATCTCCATACCTCTCCTTATAGCACACACCCCATGCATGTGGGCAACTTGACACTGCCCTGTTGCACACACGGAGTGCACCGTAATCCCAAGGCTAGTGAGGGGCCAGGGATAGGGAAGGACCACTGGTTAGGGGAACTCCTTGGCCCTCCCCAGCAGCCCCACCCACCTGTGTGGGCAACTCACTGTGCATGATGGCTTGCAGTTCGTAAAGGGGTTTCAGGACCAGAGAGCTCCAGGGTAAGGTAGGGCAGGTGAAGATGAGGTCCTGCAGTGCTGGGTCCTGTAGGGCCTCAAGCAGGCTTCGGGGGGCACCGGGCTCCCATTGCCAGAAGGGCCCTTTCAGGGTCAGGGGCAGGTGCATGACCACCCGCTGTGACTCGGTGTCCAGCACACAGCGTGCGCAGCGCATCCCAAGGTGCGTGTCCACAGCCTCCAGGAGGAGGGGCTGGTCCTCGGGTACCACCCTGGCATCCACAAGGATGCTGTGGGTTGACATGAAGAAGATGGGCAGCTGTGTGGGGCTCTGAGTGGTGGCAGAGACCAGCTCCCCCAGGGTCCTGTAGCTCTGATGGTTGGTGAGGGGGCTAAAGTGGCCTGCAGGGAGGGTACAGAGGAGACATGTGTTAGAAGGGGGGCAGGCCTCTGCCAGGTCCAAGCCCTAGCCAGGCCTGCATATAACCCATCTGGCACACCCCAAGGACACACATTTGGGTGCACCTGCACGAGGACATAGGATGGCAGGGCTAAATGTGACTGCGGCAGATGGGGAGGGCACCCACAGAGGGACAGCATCAGGGACAGAGTGGACACGTCCCCAACAGACACACTGAGATGCCCATGCTTCCCCCACCTCCCGGCCCCTCCCAATGCCAGCCCACCAACCCTCCCCTTTCCCTCCTCCATAGCTCCAAGTCCATGTGCAAGGCCTGCTATTGCCCCCTCCCCCCACCCCATAGCAACACCACTACACCTTTCTCCCAAACCAGAGTCCCTGGAGCCACTGGGAAAAGTGCCCTCTGGCCACCCCTCATCCAGCCATCCTCTCTGCCCTCCCAGCAGCCACCTCTCCAAGCCCTATGCAATCTTGTCCCAGCACCGGACTGACCTAACTGTCCCACTTCCGGTCGCAAGTTTCCTGTCCCCAAACCCACAACTTCAATCTGATCTAAACATCACGCAAAGTAGATCTGAGAGATGATTTGGAGCAGACTGTTCCGGGCTTGTCATCAATGGCAACATCCAAAGAAAGGCTGAGGACTATCCCAGTCTGAATGGGACTAAAAAAGGGGTAGCTTGAGGGATGGGGAGCAGTGTGATGGCTCAATTGGCTAATCCTCCACCTGAAGGCACAGACATCCTATATGAAATATCCTGGCTGCTCCACTTCCCATCCAACTCCCTGCTTGTGGCCTGGGAAAGCAATAAAGGATGACCTAAAACCTTGAGACCCTGCACCCACGTGGGAGATCTGGAAGAAGCTCCTGGCTCCTGACTTCAGACCAGCTCTGCTCCAGCCATTGTGGCCATTTGGGGTGTAAACCAGCTTTGTCTCTCCTTCTCTCTGGAAATCTGCCTTTTCAATAAAAGTTTGCTCCTGCTTCTGTAGCTACCCTCTTCTCACTGTCCCCCTGCACACTCCTCCCCACCTCCTGCCATGGTACATGCCTCCCCCTGAGACCTCCACATGTGGCCCGGCACTCCTGACTGCCCTATGTGTCTGCTGAGTGATCGTGTGAGCAGAGACAGGCACCTAGACACAAGCTGGGTCAAAGAAACCAGCAGGGAGACCCCAGCAGGGAGACCCGGCTTGTGTGTGAGTCCTGCAGGGCAGGAGAGGGCTGGGAGGCAGTGGTGCCCACCTTACCCTGGAAGTTGGGGTCCAGCTCCAAGGTCTGACCAGTCCCCAGGTTCTCGCAGACAACCTTCTGCAGGTGGATGTGCGTGACCTTGACCAAGTCCCCCGTGGACAGGCAACACTCATTCCCGGAAATCTCGTAGATGGAGCCTGCAGAGACCTTGCCTCAGTTTTCCTGGTCAGCAAAGACCAAGTGCTGGTGGCCCAGACCTTGGGTCTCACTGGCTCTGCTCTGCTTGGCCTTGACGCATGGTCCCCCCTGCCAGGAACGCCTGCCAGATCCTGCCCTGCCTAGCTCATAGCAACTCCATTACGCTCTTGGTGTTAGACGCCCCATGCTGGGCTGCACCAGACTTCCCCTCACCCCTGTGCCTCCTCCATGGAGGAGGCTGGCAGGCAAGCTGGGGCACCCTGGATCACTGTAGGGTATGATACAGACTCAGGAAACCGCAGCACCCCTCGACAGCTCTGGCGCCAGGCTCTGGGCAGGCCAGCAGAGTGAAGGGGAATGGGCAGGGCGAGGCCCAGGGGGCAAGGTCCTGGTGCCACTGCCACTTCAGCAGCCCCACATTCCAGTATGAAGTGCACAAGCCATGGGGTGTGGGGTAGAGGAACGGGAACAGAGAAGATGCACATCAGGGGACAGGGACCTACAGGGGCCGGGACCTGGACCTTATGCTCACTGGGCAGCCCTGGTAGGGCCTTTCCCACCAGCCCTGGGGACCCATGAGAGCGTCATGAGTCTCCATGAGACTATCACATGTTCCCATAGGAACACAGGGTGCCCTGTGAGAACATCACAGGTCCCTACAGGAAAAAGCACAGGGGGCGAAGCTCGGCCCTGCCTCTTGGTTCTGGTCGCTCCACTTGCTTCAATGCGCGACAATGGCACCTGTCATTCCTTTAGGATGCGCCAGGTAGTTCTCGGTACCTTCTGGGAATGAACCAGCAGGTGGAGATCGCTCTCTTTCTCCCTTTACATTATGACACCGGAGCTCCAGAGGGGTTGAGCAGGTCACCGCAGACGATAACCCCAGGCAACCCCCGCTCCGAGTGTCCTGCCTATCCCAGCAGTGTGGCCAGCTGCACCCCTCTTGCACCTGTCACACTCTGCTCTGATCACAGCCCCAGGTCCTGCAGAATGAAGAGGTCTGAACATGACACCAGAGATGTGGCTTGGGTCCTGGGCTGGAGGAGAGCCCCAGGCCCGCAGGGGTAGAGGCCGAATTCAAACCCAGGCCAAGCAAGCTCCCCACTGGGAGCCCATGGCCTCCAGGGGTCCCTTTTGCACCCCAGCCTTGGTTTAGGCCCAACTGGGAACCTCAGTTTTGCTGGAAGCTAGGGTGGAATAGGATGGGGAGGGGGCATTTGTATCTTAGTTTGCTCTGTAAGGAACTGCACCCTATATGGTCTCTGGTCCCCTATCCAACCCACTCAGCAGTTTCCACTTCCTCTCCCCTCCCTCCCCTCTTTCCCCACCTTGCCCTGCTCTCTCTCCCTCTGCTCGTAAGCCTCTCTCTTCTAGCAACCCTCACCCTGCTACCAGGCCTGCTGCCCTGCAGGCTGGGCCAGGAACAGAGAGCTGGAGGCTTCCTGCAAGGCCTCTCACTGAAGTCCAGGACTTAGGAACTGATGGGATGACCCAGAAGGCCAAAGCAGGAGAACTGTAGGCAAGCAGTGTAGACCACACGCGGAGGCAGGGGGGACTGGTGCCAGGTCAGGATCCCAATGATCATGAGCGCCTCTTTCCAGGCCTCCTTGCTCTATTGGTGGAGCCTGTGCTGTCACCTGGTTCTCTCACCTCCCACCTGCTTTGCCTTACCTCTCTGACAGCACCACCGTGCAGGGCAGCTCAGAGGGGTCCCCAATGACACGGAAGCCGAGGGTTCACCCAATCAGTGCAGGAACTGAGTCGGAATTAGAACCTGGGGTTCCCAATTCTCTCTGACCTTTCCCCCACCTAGAGACAGCCGGCGGTCGGAGGGGTCCTGCCCTGCACTCACCCTCGAAATAGACCCCCGAGTAGATCCGCAGCACGCGCGGGAGGGAGGCGGGGTCCAGGAAGCGCGCGAAGTCCTGCAGCGGCACCGGCTCCATGGTCCGCGCGACGCGACACGGCTCGCTGGACCCGTGAACTGAGCGGCCCGTGGCGCCTCCGCCCGCCGGCACCCAGGCACCCCGGCGTCCCGCCCACACCGCACCCACAGAGTCCCCCCACCGAGGCTCCGCCCACAGAGCCCTGCCCGCCCTGCCCTGGGTCGGAGGCGCTGCGGACCCACCAATGGGCCACAGAAGGTACCCTTTCCCCAGCACCCGAATATGCTATGGCTAACGCATTCCTGTTATTTTGCCTGGGTTTGTTTTTTTTCGCCCCCGCTTCTAACTTACAGAAATAAAAACTCACCACATATGACTTCTCCAGTTTCAGATCCTCTTAACATTTGCATTTAACAGGACCAGGGTGTTGTATCATCTGCCAAAAGTAGAAGGGAGAGGGCCGTGGAGTAAGTCAAACCTGTAGATTGTCCCGCACGCTAGAAGATCTTATTCTATTTTATTTTATGATACAATCCCATGGGCTTATTTCACTTTTATAATTCATTTATTTGAAAGGCAAAGTTATACAATAAGAGGAAAAAAAGGGTGGGTGGGCAGGGGGTAGAATCTTCCATTCACTTCCATTCAAATGGCTGCAATGGCCGTGGCTAGGCCAGGGCAAGGCCAGGAGCCTGGAGCTTCCTCTGGGTCTCCCACATCGGGGTGAGGGCCCCAACACTCTAGTTGTCTTCTGCTGCCTTCTGCACGCGCTGGATCAGAAGTAGAGCAACCAGGACACTAACCAGGACTATGTCAGTGCTCTAGCTGTGGGCTAACCCGCTGTGCCACAATGCAACCTTGACAGCAGGTGTCCCAGGAGCCTCTTTTCAGGCTGCACGGCCCTTGCCAGGAGCATGTACCATGCCCAGGTACCCTCACTGATGACGCTAACCTTTTTTTTTTCAGTTTTTAAATTTTTTAATTTTTAAAGATTTATTTTATTTTTATTAGGAAGATTTGCAGAGAGGTAGAGACAGAGAAAAAGATTCTCCATTTGCTGACTCACTCCCCATGTAGTCAAAGCTAAGCCTACCCAAAGCCAGGAGCCAGGGGCCTCTTCTGGGTTTCCCACGCAGGTGCAGGGTCCCAAGACTTTGGGCCATCCTCAATAGCTGGGAACTGAATGGGAAGCGGAGCTGCTGGGATTAGAACTGGTGCCTATATGGGATCCTGACTCAGTCAAGGTGAGGACTTTAGCCGCTAGGCCACCATGCCAGGGCCCCCAGGATTTTGATTATTATTATTATTATTATTTTATATAGTTGAGAAGGATTTATGCCCATGAGGGTGGAGAGGGTCAAGGCATGGGGAAAGTGGGTGAGACTAATGCCTTCAATTATTTTTCTCCTGCATCTGTATCTGTAGGGGAAGGGAAAGTAGGGGCCGCTCCCAGCAGACAAACCACATCAGTACCTGTAGATAAGATTGTCCACTTGATATCATCCTAGGATCCCCAATATGAAGAATGTTCTGAGGGTACTACTTAAGTGGTTCTAAAGTTTTGAGACACCATTGGTTTCATTGCTGCAAGGTCCGTTGACCGACATAGACCATCTTACAGTCTCCACTCAGCCAGATACTTGCTGTCAAAGCTTTGTCAGGGGAGTTGTCCAATCTGTTCTGCCCTCCATCATCTGCCATGGTACTCAACATCCTCTGCTGGCCTGGATGAGCTGGCTGTCATGTCCTTTGTGTGCAACTGGGCATACTGTCCACTGCACAGACATCAGCAACAGAGGGGGTCCAATCCCAATGCATTCATTCCAAGGTCAGACAACAAATCCTGTTACTTTCCGTTGGTTGGAGTTTTGAGTCTAGTGGTCCAGTTGGGAGGTTCTCCATGAAACCTCACCTGTATGTGCCAGCCAGTGTAGGGTCTACCTCAGTCTCTCACCCACATCAGACTACTCACACACTGGTGGTTACAGTTGTCCAGTTAGCTCTGAGCCCAGCCCCATTTCACATGCAAACAAAAAGAGATCCTATGGCCTAGCCTAACCATGCCCACCACGCACTCAGCCTTCACATACACCAATGGGAACTGCAGCCCAGTGAAGGTGACCCCCTAATAACCCCGATCAGGCCTGCACTTGGCCCTGGTTCCTGTGCATGCCAGTAAGTGCAGCAGACTGGTCTAGTCCATCCCACATCTCTCTGGCTCTCAAACACAGCCATGGGTACTGCAGCCCAGCTCAGCCCGACCCACCCACTATCCAGTCCACACATATGACATCGGACACTGCTGCCTTGCCCAGAAGCAGTCCTATGCCCATCCCTGGTTCTCACACGCACCAGTAGGAGCTGCATCCCAGCAGAGGAGTGCCCACAGTTTCCCTGTTAACCCAGTCCCAGTCCTGGATCTTGCACTTTTCAGGTGGTGCAGAGGTCCTGCCTGACTCAGCTTGCACCTAGCCCCAGCGTTTCCTAGCTGATACTGTGGCAAAGCCAGACCAGTCTGCACTTATTCTGGTTTTCGCATGCACTAGCAGATGCAGTGGCCTGGCCTGGCTTGCCTCCACCCCAAACCCAGCTCATACGCAGGCCAATGGTTGTTGCAGCCCAGCTCTCCCCAAAACCTAGCTTATACGTGGGCCAACAGGTTTTGTAGCCTGGCCCAGCCTGGTCTGCCCCAAGTCTCAGCTCTCATGGTTACCAGTGGGAGTGGTAACCCAGCATAGGGGGCCCTACAGTCCCCTACCAGACTCACCGTCGGGCCTGGGATCTTGTATGTGCTGGTGGGTGCTATGGCCCAGTCTGATATGGCCTGTCTTGCCTGCAGCCTGGCTCTGCTAGGCTTGACCCTAGTTCCAGCTCATGCTGGTGGGTGCTACAGCCTAGCCCAGCCTGGACTGTCCCTACTAATATGAACTAGTAGCTATTGTGGTTCAACCCGGCCTGTCCAGCAGCTTGTCCTGGTTCTCACATCTGCCACTGGGTGCTATGAATTGACCTGGCCTAGCTATCTCCAGACCTGACCCGTATGAATGCCTGTGGGTGCTAAAACCTGGCCTAGGCTGCACCCAGTCTTTTTTAAAAACTTCTATTATTGTTATTATTATTTTAGATAATGTTTACATAGTTGATCAGGCTGGGAAGGATCTAGAGTTAGGGAGAAGTGGGTGTGATCAATTGTTTCCAAACTTTCTATTTCTTCTTCCTATTTCTGTTCCCCAGTACCCAACGATGGGGAACAGCCTGATATTAACCCAGTGCTCCCAGTCTTGATTCTGCGCTCACCTGCAGGGGACTGTGTTCTGACGGAGAGTTCCCCAAGCCCTTCTATCAGGTCACCTCCTAGTGGCAGATCTTGTGCACACTGGTGAGTCCTGGGCCCAGCCTGATTAGCCTACCTCCTGTCCTAGCAAAAACTATGGCCTTGCCTGCCCAGCCCACACCCATTCCAGCTCTTACACTTGGATGTTACAGCCCAGCCCTCCCTGGCCCACCCCAAGACTCGGCTCTTGTGTAGTTCGGGAGGTGCCATGACTCAACCCAGCCTGTTCTACGCTCACTCTGTGTCTCACACTCACCAGTGGAAACTGCAGCTCAGTGGGGGAATCCCCTTCACTTCCCGACTTGGCCCTCTCTCAGCCACAGATCTTGCACATGCCAGTATTTGCTCCAGCCCAGCTTGGCATGGACTGTCCCCTATCTTGACCCTTGCCATAGGATGCTGCAGCCTACCCTGACCTGATCTGCCCCCAAGCCCAACTCTTGCTGATGGGTGCTGCAGCCTAGCCTTACCCAGCTTGCCCCTATCCCCAGCTCTCATGCAAACAGGCAAGTACAGCAGGCTGTCCCAGTATGATCAACATCCCATCCTGGCTCTTACACATAGCAGTATGTGCTACAACTTGGCCTGACCTTGCCTGGTCCACCCTTCCCCATCCCCCACTGCTCAGTTAGCCCATACACCTTGCCAACAAGTGGAGCAGACCCGCCTGGTCTGGTCAACATCCAGCCCCAACTCTTGTGCTCACTATTGGGAACTACAGCCTAATAGGGGAGTTCACCAAGTTCCTCCACTAGATGCACTCCTAGACTCAGATCTCATGCTTGTCAGTCAGTGCTAGGCCCCTGACCAGCATAGTTCACCCCCACACATACCTAGTCCCGGCCTGTGTGAGTGGTGGATGTGGCATCCTGGCCCTCCCCACACCTAATTCATGAGTGTGTCTGCAGATGCTTCATCCTGGACCAACCCTGCTTACTCTCAACCCCAGCAACCATGAGTGTTGCTGATTTCCATGGTAGTACTTAGCTTGGCCCATCAACACCCTGAACCCTCGAGTGAACCAGCTGGTATTGCAGTCCCACAGAGGTGAGCCCACAAATTCCCCCACAGAATCTGCTCCCAGACATGGTTCTCTTGTGTGCCAGTTAGTGCCATGACCCCACCTGATATGGCCCACTCTCTGCCCTGACATTCACTGGCAGGTACTGTGGCCTAGTCCTGCCAGGCAGGACCCTCAGCCCTAGCCTTCATACGCACCAGTGGGCTGTGATCAATGCAAACTAGCCCTGTCCAGGTCTTCCACGTGGGCAGGTATCCTGTCTGACCCAGACATGTCCTCCGGCTCCCACCTCCCAAAAACCACTTGGCTTCAGCACCCCCTTTACCTGCAATTGCAGTAGCGTGTTCTATGAAAATCACCCAGAAGTCATTCCTCATCTGCAATGTACTCCTTCAGCGCCCGCCCTCCCACACATCCCCGAATCCCTTTCCCTGCACAGCCCCCATGTCCACAGCTGATCTTCCAGTGGTGCTCCATTCACCTCCCATCTGCCCAGGGTCCACAGCACCGCTTGTCTGGGCTCTGTGCTCTGACGGGGCAGCTGACATTAATCTTGATCCCTGAGCTGGGGCTGGCGTGTCCAGGTTTCTTCTCGGGGAAGACTACTCTTCCCCCTTCCCATTCTCTGTTCTTTGGGAATGCAGTCCCATCATGCAGGGACTCTTTGCAGTCCCACTCTTTGCAGGGACCAAATTCTT